TCCCTAAACCCTAAACCCTAAACCCTAAACCCTAAACCCTAAACCCTAAACCCTAAACCCTAAACCCTAAACCCTAAACCCTAAACCCTAAACCCTAAACCCTAAACCCTAAACCCTAAACCCTAAACCCTAAACCCTAAACCCTAAACCCTAAACCCTAAACCCTAAACCCTAAACCCTAAACCCTAAACCCTAAACCCTAAACCCTAAACCCTAAACCCTAAACCCTAAACCCTAAACCCTAAACCCTAAACCCTAAACCCTAAACCCTAAACCCTAAACCCTAAACCCTAAACCCTAAACCCTAAACCCTAAACCCTAAACCCTAAACCCTAAACCCTAAACCCTAAACCCTAAACCCTAAACCCTAAACCCTAAACCCTAAACCCTAAACCCTAAACCCTAAACCCTAAACCCTAAACCCTAAACCCTAAACCCTAAACCCTAAACCCTAAACCCTAAACCCTAAACCCTAAACCCTAAACCCTAAACCCTAAACCCTAAACCCTAAACCCTAAACCCTAAACCCTAAACCCTAAACCCTAAACCCTAAACCCTAAACCCTAAACCCTAAACCCTAAACCCTAAACCCTAAACCCTAAACCCTAAACCCTAAACCCTAAACCCTAAACCCTAAACCCTAAACCCTAAACCCTAAACCCTAAACCCTAAACCCTAAACCCTAAACCCTAAACCCTAAACCCTAAACCCTAAACCCTAAACCCTAAACCCTAAACCCTAAACCCTAAACCCTAAACCCTAAACCCTAAACCCTAAACCCTAAACCCTAAACCCTAAACCCTAAACCCTAAACCCTAAACCCTAAACCCTAAACCCTAAACCCTAAACCCTAAACCCTAAACCCTAAACCCTAAACCCTAAACCCTAAACCCTAAACCCTAAACCCTAAACCCTAAACCCTAAACCCTAAACCCTAAACCCTAAACCCTAAACCCTAAACCCTAAACCCTAAACCCTAAACCCTAAACCCTAAACCCTAAACCCTAAACCCTAAACCCTAAACCCTAAACCCTAAACCCTAAACCCTAAACCCTAAACCCTAAACCCTAAACCCTAAACCCTAAACCCTAAACCCTAAACCCTAAACCCTAAACCCTAAACCCTAAACCCTAAACCCTAACGCAAGCACTTTTCCATCAATGTGCAATCGCCAAACCCATTCCACTTGTTTCGGAGTTTTTTTTACTATTCCTTCCTAATCGTGCTAAAAGCATCACTCCGTAGAATCACCACTCCGTAGCTAAAAGCATATATTTTCTTAGTCGTAGTGCCGTATTGGAGATACTCATGTGCGAGATAATCCATCGTACCAGCGGTTAAGGTCGAGACAGGGCTGTTGATGTGCTCCGTGAGCCTAGCTAGACCGAAATCTCCCAGCCATGCGTTGAAGTTAATGTCGAGCATTATGTTGGTCGTCTTTATATCCCGGTGAACCACTTGCTGCTCACATTTGTGGTGGAGATACAACAAAGCCGAAGCCAAACCAATCGCAACGTTGAGCCTGTGTGACCAGTCTAGAGAAACGGCTTCTGCTTTGATTCTTGATATCTTGTCAAGACTTCCATTAGGCATAAACTCGTAGACGAGAAGCAACTCTCCCTTCTCGTTACACCAACCCTGAAGCTGAACAAGATTTGTGTGCCGCAAGCAAGCAATGATCGATAGCTCAGCGAGAAACTCGGTTCTGCCTTCGGTTGAGTTGTGCCTCGACCTTTTCAAAGCCGAGATCGTTCCAACTCTCTTAGCTCTGTAATATGCTCTGTCTTGAGCTCCTTCTTTGCCTTGATGAGTTTCCATTTCTTCAAGGTTAAGTATCAAAAAGCCAAAGAGCAAAGCAGAAGACGATTGGACAAGAAATGTTGGTTTCATCTTCGGAACAGGACTAGGCTGACCTCATTGCGGCTCTTTGTACAGGTTTCGTTTTCAGAAATCTCGTATTTGCTAAGTCCTGACAAGAAGAGAGCGAGGTTTGGCTTCGATTTATAGAGATGATGATGACGATGACCAGTTTCTGAAATGAATAGCTTTTGAAGCTCTGTTATGACACTATCCATCTCTTGGCAAGTGTATAGCTGCTCGCTTCTTGAGATGATTGACAGTGTTTCGCTGAGAATCTCTCTGTAACGATCCCTTGTCGCTTCATCTTTGGAGTTCTTATACTTGTGAATGAGATCGACGACAAACTTCAGAGTTTTGGAGTCAATCTCTGATATGCTCATGTCTCTACAAAGAACAACAACAAAAGTCAATCGATAACGTGCAATATGATCTACACTAATATCTGATTCTCTTATCTAGGCAAGTGTAAAGAATAGATAACGAAGTTACTTACAGTATCCGAAGGCAAGCAGAGAGTGCAAAAACAGGAGCTCCTAACACAGTGTATCTGGATGAATTTGATGGTTTCTCATTGAAATTCTCAATGAAGTGGAAGAAATCTGCAACGATCTGTTTCTTTGCGTCGTTTTTGATTCTGTCTGTAAGAAAATTCAGTGGAAAGCCCTCTAACAGCAAGGCTAGATATGCATCTGGTGCAGATTCAGATCTGCTCTTAGAAGATCTATTGTTGTTTTCTCTAGAAGATCAGTCATAACTTCACCGGCGAATTTGCCATGGGATTGTTGGCTCAGTAAAACTATGAAAGCAGAGATCATCAAGACGCAGAGTGCTATTTCTTTGAACACCAAAGACGCATGGCTTGGAAACAGCGCCACAACTTTAACAGGAAGAGAGACCCTTGTAGCTTCTCTGTTGCAGATATGTTTTCCTTCTCCGAGCAAGACCAAGCCTCAGCAGCAAATCTCAGACAGATGGCTTGCCAGTTTTTGACCCATTTCGTTTTCTTGACATGGTGAGAGGGAAAACCACGGCGTTTGTTGGGTGATTCCGTCAGCAGAAACCACATGCAGTCTTTGATCTGCCTTCTCTCTCAGGTACACAAGCAAAAGTTTCTTCATCATCTCCTCATCAAACTCTCCTTTCAACCTCTCATCCACAGCCTCAAGCACAGAGATCTCACCGGAATAAACCCAGACGTCTTGAAGCTCCAGTTCTCGATCAAGTGAATCCATGTGCTTCCTTGTGTTGAACCGGAGAATCCTACATACATCGAACCGTTTAAGAAAGGAGAAAGATCGATGTTTGCAGATAAAAGAGGCTTTTCAATTGGATCTGTGTAACTCAATAAACGCAAAGGACCTTCTTGTAATCGATCCAGGCAGTGATCGATTTCCCAGATTTCAGATCAATTTGAGACGAAACGGGTGGATCCGAGGTCGCGATTCGTGATTTCCGCTCGGGTCGTTGAAATGAGGATCCAATTTGGTGTCGAATTCGATTGCGACGAAGCGATGGGCTGAGAGGAATTGACGAGACCCACGGGACTTCCTGGAATCTGGGTTCACGTTTTGGACGGAGAAGGAGAAGTGTGTGAAGAAAGAAGCTGTGGTGTTCGAATCCGGATCGGTGTGTTGTAGATGACCGTGCCCGAGGTCGTATCAGGAACGCCGAGCTCTCTCGTGAGTCCGACGACGCCGTTTCGGAGATGGGAATCGCCGAGGAACGTGAGGTTTCGAATCGTGAAGGATTTGAATGCGAAATTGACATTATCGGCAGATACGAAGGTTGGTTTCGCCATGGAACAAGAAGCTTTCTTGAAGGAGACATGAGAGAGAGAGAGAGAGAGAGTTTGGTTACTTTGGTGGGAAGATAAGTTCGAATTGATATGAAGAAGGAAAGGGTATAATTGAAATTTTATATGGTGTAACAACGGTTATTATACAACGTCGTTCTTGGGATCTTTGAAGTGTGAAAGAGCCGGTTTATATGTCTTAACTTTATTTTGTCCACTTAGATAATTTTTCAATTTTAAGAAATGTAGATTGTTATATAATCTTCTATTTCTATTTATGCTAAAAACTTAAATACATTTTGAGATTTTTCTCTCAATAATGATGAATGAAGTGGAATTGTAAAAAATTACGAGCCATGGATATGTATATGTTTCTGAATAGGTTTTTATTATGAAAGTCTAATAACATTTTTTTTTTAGTTTTCTTCTCCTTAAACACCTTCCAATCATTAATTCAATATTTGTCAATATTTGTGGGCTTGGAATAATATATTATTACTATGAAAACTAGTTGAATCAATTTATTTTCACTTTATACACCTTTCAATAATTAATTTAGAAAACTTCAAAATTCATCAATTTTGCTAATATTTGTGGGCTACCACCTAAGAGTTTTGACAATTTTTGAAAAAATTGGAATAATGTGTTATTACTCTTTCTTATATACTCTTTTCCTATGAAAAATGGTTGGATCTATTTATTTTCACTTTAGACATATTCCAATCATTAATTTAGAAAAACTTCAATATTTATCAATTTTGCCAATATTTGTGAACTTACACCTACGAGTTTTGATAAATTTTGAAAAAAATGGAATAATGTGTTCTTACTCTTTCTTATAAACTCTTTTCCTATGAAAAATGGCTGGATCTATTTATTTTCACTTTAGACACATTCCAATCATTAATTTAGAAAAACATCAATATTTATCAATTTTGCCAATATTTATGGACTTACACATACGAGTTTTGATAAATTTTGAAAAAATTGGAATAATGTGTTATTAGTCTTTCTTAGATACTATTTTACTATGAAAAAGGGTTGGATCAATTTATTTTCACTTTAGAAACCTTCTAATAATTAATTTATAATAACCTTAAAATTCACCAATTTTGCAAATATTTGTTGGCTCACCTACGAGTTTTTACAATTTTTGAAAAAATTGGAATAATGTGTTATTACTCTTTCTTATATACTCTTTTTATATGAAAAATTGTTAGATCTGTTTATTTTCATTTTAGACACATTGCAATCATTAATTTAGAAAAACCTCAAAATTTATTAATTTTGTCAATATTTGTGTACTAACACCTACGAATTTTGACATATTTTGAAAAAATCGGAACAATATGTTATGTTATTTCTTAGATACTGTATGAAAAATGTTAGGATCTCCAACCTAGAGGACAAAAAAAAAGGAGTTTTAAATTTGAGACAAGAATGGTTTTTATTTCCCTACGGAAGGAAATTTATTTGGGATTTTATTCCTCTCTTTAGAAACCACCCTCTTTGTATAATACCTGTTACTTTGTTATTGAGAATGTTTTGTGAATCTTAATGAAATCAGCTCGAATCAAAATACTATTACGAGTTCATATGATCATATCCACCTATTTCATTATTATTCTTTTAAGTAATTCAAAGTACCAAATGTGTCATCGGCGCTAAGGCGTGAGTGAGTAAACCCGAAAAGCAGTCTGCTCAATCAATTCACACTGCTATCTAACTCCTGCAACTTTATAGCCATTTCAGGACTATGCCGAGCCCCTAAGCTTCTGGCAAGTGACCGTATAGCTCTAGAGATCAACTCTCTCTTCTGCATCTTACCCGAAGTGCTAGTCTCAGACGCCCTTTCTTCCTCCTCCAATGTCACACACAATCCTCTCAACCACTCCTCTAGAAAAGAGGCTTTCTATAGGGTTTCATCCGATATCAAGAAGAAAATTTGACTCAGTAATCCTTAACTAAACGCAATCAAAAACAGTGGTACCAAAAACAATAGCGGCCAGTTTCTTACTCTGACAAGAAAATCTGTCAACGCTTCACAAGGCCGTCTTGAAACCAGACTCAGGAGATGCAGCATGGTCAAGGTTAACTGAAACGACCAACCAACCGCACTTTAGATAAATCATTCATCAATAACCTAAAATTAGGCCAACGTTGTTTTACCTGATTCTCAAGCGACCTCTTGTATTTAAAATTTGCTGGAGTTGTCTCTCTGTCGGAATTCAGACTCTGTAAAGTATGCTCCACACCTTTGACAACATCAGGGAATGACCTCCCATACGCTGCAAATACATTATGTGCGAGAAAGAATTTAGCCAAACAGTACAAGTCCCAAAACCCAAATAATATGAGACGAAATAGATAGAACAAAGTCTTGTCCAAATATATATAGCTACATGGATGGGAGAAAGAGGGATAGTATCAGATCACCAAGTGGGGTTGCTGGAACTGCTAAAGCGGCAGCAGCTTGTATTCTTATCTTAAAGTTTGATGCATCACGAAGCAGCAACAGAAGTATACTAAAAACACTTGGCGCCCTGCAAAAAGAAGAAAAGAAAAGGAGTTGGTAAAGGTCAGCAAGAGAAGCAGCTACGGTAATAGAAAGCTAAAAGACGCATACCAATCCATATCTTGCAGTTTTATTGTCTCGTTGGAGAATAGATTGCTTAACGCATGACAAACATTCCATTGAACCTGTACAAATTTCTCAAGTCAAAGAATCTTGTAGATAAAGCTAGGGATGCGTAAACAAACAGTGTATTAACATTGAACCAGACCAGATCAAATCGAATACGTTTCTGCATAAGATTTCTTTATCAAACCAATCCAAATTTATTAGATAAGATTTCTCTCGAACAAGCCGACTCGAATCACATCCAGTTGAAACCATTCTTGTTTAATTCTACTTATTAAAGTATACCTTAACATTACCAGTAGTAACACAGGAAAGAAATGCTTGCACGGTTCTCTCCAACCAGCTTGAATCTCCCGCGCAGGATAGATGGTGAGATTTTGATGAATGTTGATGGGGCAAAGGTAAGACCTCTTGGTCCAGTGACTCTATACTAGTCATGCATCTCAATTTTACATTTTTCGAAATACTCCCCAGTGCCCGAACTGCATTGAATTTCACCTAACAATAGAATTCCGGAAATGATGATGGCAAATGTGCACATAAATATTATATCAAAAACTACTGTGTGCTCCAGAGAACAGAATATCTGCAAGCCGGTTTCGCCACCCATATGGAACAGACGAGGGCGGTGAATATATCTATCAAATAAATAAAACTAACGATAACTTGAGAGTGATTTCCATTACCTTATCACCATCCTCAGTAAGGCGTAAGGCACAATCTATGAGTGTGTCCACAACTTGAGAAGTTGTCTTTGATCCTATTAAGCAGGAGAAAGGAAAGGTAAACCCAAAAGTTGTAGCAAAATCTAATTATTACGTAAGCATTAATACCTTCAACGGATCCATCATCAACGTGGTAACGCAGCGAGTCGCACACATTGGCCAAAGCCCAAGACGCGGTTATACGCACCTGAATTGACAAGCATAAAGCCCATTGCAGTAGGAAAAGTAAAATTTTAAAAACATAGGTTATGAGAACAAACAAATAAAAGTCGGTAATGCAGTACCGAGACCAAGGGATCGCGGGTATTCGCTTCAATGGCTATGATAAAGTTTTCGTATACCCTCGCACTGCATCACCAAAGTTCCTTTAGTTCTTGACCATGGATATCTTGCCAGGGATTTTTGGGACAAGCAAAACACAGTGACAAAGGATTAAGTTACCTTAAAGAAGTTTCTGGAAAACATGAAATTACACCAATAGCCCGGCAAGCTGCCGATCTGACTGAAGATGTTTTGTCATGCAATGCAGCGCTTATCTACAAAACTAATAGACGTCATGCAGATATCCTAAAAACTAAAACCGAGATAGTTAAATTCAAATACTTACAATGGATGAAGTGATAAAGTCCTTCTCCTGCTTTTTGAAAGAGGCAAATATGGAGGATGTAATACCAGCAAAGCAAGTAATTGTAGTGCTCCTCACCTTTCAAATATAGGAAGATATTCAGGACCACAGCATATTTTCAAACAACAGAACCTCCATCTACGATTGTACTATACAACAAAAACAAATCGAGATTTTAAACCCACAACTGCAGAACCATGGTGTAACACAAGAACGATATGTTTACGAATAGCCTCAGACCACTGGTCACATCCTGCCTGAAAAATTGGCTCTTCACCAAATGCAGGGTTCTGAAATCCATATGATGGCGCAGATGAAATTCTTATCGACCTTACGCAGTCAGATGTAAATGGTGTATCCATTAATCTATCGTATTGAAGATCCTCTGTTCCCTTAAATCCACATATTGCGCGAAGGCATCCATCCAAAACCTACATGCAATCCTGTGTAAGTTCTTATTGCAAACGTGGCCCCTAAGACATTCCTCAAACGCTTAAGCTGTCACGCCAGGTGCTTAAAGCAGACGAAATAAAAACTAAATATGTGCATGCTACCAATAAGCAATGAATGATGTGGAACATAGAAGATATTTTCCGTTTTAAATATATAAAGCATAGTTATTTCAAAATCCTGCCTTGATAGCAGCTGTGAGGACTTTATCTCCAATATATCCAACAGGCTCTTTAACTGAAGCTTTCCATGTCGTTGGAGAATCTTCAACAACAGCAGACTGCAAAAGTTTATACACGAGGCCAGAGACCCGTTCCCAATATGCTGACACTATGGTTGGGTAATTGAGAGCCATGGCTCGGAGGACCTGCATGGCAACCATATATTGTTTGGATGAATACTCATGACGTTAATGTAGCAGCTCTCATATTCAAAATCTCTATAAAAGTCTTAAAACTCTGGCAAATTCCTCAACCATGAAAGGGAAACAAAACAGTCAGCATAAAAATGTTTACAGATCGGGGAAAGTGTTCTTAATGTACGGACGGAGTCAATAGAGCACCATATTCACCTGAATTTATTCTGCGTCTATCC